ACACACACACACACACACACACACATACACATATACACACACACAGTTTTAAAGGTTACAGCAACATTAGAACATTCTACTAACTTAATTTTCACCCAAATGTATATTATTTGAACATTTATCATTAATATTCTAATTACGTTAACCGTCCACTTGGAGCAAATATTTCTCATCTAAAAATGTATTATCCTCCTGAGAACCAGAAATAAAAAGCTTTGTGAATTTAGTATTTCTTCACGTCATTACATTGTTTAGAGCATAAGGAAAAAATGGTAACATTTTTGAAAAATGATATTTTATTCAGAAGTTATGCTATGTGCTCTGTAGAGGACACCAGGACTTCTAAAAATAAAATGACAAGAGTAGACATGAAAAGGCAAACACAATGGGAATTTTTTAAAAATCTGCAATACATTTTTAGGCTTCAGGATTCTTTTACACCTAACTTTGTTTAAGGATGGTTGTCAGCTATGTTATAAAATATATAACAAAATGATTTGATATAACATTTTGCTTTATGAAATATGTGTGTAAAAATTCCATGAACTGGTTTTCCCGTTAAGCACAATGTTATCTATACACTGTGTGTCTAATTTGATTATTAAAGCTTTCAGTCCTGGTGTCCTCTGCAGTGGACGTGTATGAAATCATGTCCTGTTTCATAACAAGAAGTCATATTTTGATTTGAAACCCCGTAACATTTTCCTGAGATGTTGATTTATGACAAACAATTTGAAAATGAATCAGATTTCAATTGTAATGACAAAATATTATCATATTTCCATAAGGATGTACAGTTTGATCACTAAATGAATGTCAGCCATGTTTAAAGAGCAAGGAGAGGGCGTGGCCTCGGTGAAACATCCAATCATGTGGCGTCTCTGGAGAGCCCTGCATGTGCTCCGTACAGGACTCCAGACTTACAGCTGTGCCACGTGAGGTCTCAGAGAAATACACTCAAATATAACGTCCACTACAGAGGCTAAAACTCCACAGCTGGGTCTCAGGAGGATTTATATACAATATCCAGTTAAAAAAACTTTTTTTTTTGTTTGTGTGAAAATAGTTCATAAACCGAGCTGACCCTTTAAGTAACAGAATTGATTAGTCTTGGTGTAAGAACTTTTTAGAGTAAAATATGTTCTCAGAGAGAGCACACAGACTTTTCAGCGCTTCAGCGCGCATCAGCGAGCGGACGTGACGTCATTTCCTGCGTCTTACACAGTTGCTACATACTTGCACTAATGTGAAGGTGAAGTATGGTACGGACACACCTTTTTATAAGAAAAAATGTATTTTTAAACAATTTAATGTTGTAGAATTAAGAAAATTACTATTTAGGGCTTTTATAAATAACGAAACATTACCAAAAAGAAAAGTACAACAAAATATTTTTGGTTACACAATGACTTTCATCTGTATAAGACACGTTTTTCAGAAAATATTATATAGTTATGGCCTGTTAAAGATGTGTTTTGTCTTCTCTATCACTCAGTCAGCAGTGCTTTACTGCTTCACGGCACTGACTGAGTGTTAGCTACAGCAGCCCTCTCTGATCCTGCTCCTGCTCCTGCTCCTGCTCCTGATCCTGGTCCTGATCCTGATCCTGATCCTGCTCCTGATCCTGATCCTGGTCCTGGTCCTGCTCCTGATCCTGCTCCTGCTCCTGCTCCTGATCCTGATCCTGATCCTGCTCCTGATCCTGATCCTGATCCTGCTCCTGCTCCTGATCCTGCTCCTGCTCCTGCTCCTGATCCTGCTCCTGGTCCTGGTCCTGCTCCTGATCCTGATCCTGATCCTGATCCTGCTCCTGCTCCTGATCCTGATCCTGCTCCTGCTCCTGGTCCTGATCCTGCTCCTGCTCCTGCTCCTGCTCCTGCTCCAGTTCCTCTCCCACGCCTTCTCCCTGGTCCTGCTCCTGATCCTGATCCTGATCCTGATCCTGCTCCTGCTCCTGGTCCTGATCCTGCTCCTGCTCCTGGTCCTGATCCTGCTCCTGGTCCTGCTCCTGATCCTGCTCCTGGTCCTGCTCCTGGTCCTGGTCTTGCTCCTGGTCCTGGTCCTGGTCCTGCTCCTGCTCCTGCTCCTGCTCCTGGTCCTGTGAGAGCGCTAGATGGCAGTCCAGCCCTTCTGCTGCAGCTCCACCTGCCCAGTGGCTCATACTTTATTTGGCTTTCATTAAAAACAGCATACTTTACCCGAAAGCCTGTGCACGACTTGTTGGATATTTATTAGATATGTGATCAATCTTGAGATGTGATCATTCTTAGTGACTGTAGTGTAGCTGTTTTATAACTTCTGGACGTAAACATGGACGAACATGACTGTGACGCACCAATAAAAACAAACGCCGCAGCGCATCACGGGAAATGGAGTTTTATGTTAAAACGGCGCACATCGGATTTCTCGCAGAGTTTATTAATATTTCACATTGGAAAATAAAAGATGACAGCGACGCGATTTTAGCGACTCCCGGCGTGAATATCAAGTCAAAAATACTAACATGTGCACATGTTTGAAGAGTTTGAGCGATCCGGAACAGCAGGTCCGGGGGGCGTTAGCTGGTTTTTATTCTCGCGAGACTTGCGTGAAGCGTCTCCTCGCTCTTTTTATTTAAAGAATATACAAAAAGTAGTAAACTTGCAAAAGCAAACGAGGAAATGGTTTGAAACACACACAATACCAGCACTGAATAAATCCAACGCCTCCTTGTTCGCTGACACACATCTCTGAAGCGTCAGCCTGAGGACGTGAACTCTCGCGATGGTTTGCAATTCCTGCTAGCTTACAGTGACGTCTCTTCCCCTTCTTATACTTATACTTATTATTATTATTTTAATATGCAAAGACCAGTACAAATATACGCTGGAATACAGCTAGAAATGCCAGTAATAAAAACACCGTTCCGGTTCTCTTCTGCTTTCCTTTCAGGTTTCAGGGCGACGTGAACTCTCGCGAGATTTGCGTCGTCCGCTTTCAGACTCCATGATCTGCTGCCGAGCGGCGCGCCGCGATCATCCCCGCGTGCGTACATGACGCCCCTCCGCGCATATCTCCGCTCAGATGGACTAAGAGTGATCTCGTGAGGATGGAGAGCGTTAAACTGAAGAAGAGCAGCGCTCTGAGTGTGGCCTTGAGATCCACAGCAGACCACAAGGATGAAGAAGAAGACGATGAAGGCCAGAGAGCATCAACCCCCCCTCAGACCCGAAGCCAGAGCCCAGCCGAGCTCAGTAAAGCCTGCAGGAGCAGCTCCAGTCTGCTGCTGAGGAAGAGGAGGGTAAAGAGGCATGTGTCCAGCATCAGCTCGTCTCATAGCCGGAGTCAGACGCTGCTGAGACACAGAGCCAGTCCTCAGCTGCAGCTGTCCGACCGCCAGTGGGTCCGCCAGGACCTGCGCCGTGGCTCCGTACACGTGCACGACCGGCTGCTGGTGCGGTCTCAGCCGGCCCGGCCCGTTCTGTGCACCGTGGAGAGCTCAGCGGCCGAGATAGCCCAGCGCCTGCAGCAGGCCAGCGGCAAATCAGGCTCGGTTCTGAGGCTGAACGCCAAGAGCTACCCGTCTAACGGGAACTGCGACGGCGAGTACCCACTTAGACACCTTCACACAGGGGCCGAGAGCCTCCCGGACCAGCCCAACGACCGGCTGCGGCTCCTGCTGCTGGAGAAGGACCATCAGTACCAGCAGCAGGAGTACCACATCTACACACCCTCCAAAGTGGACCGCGGGTCCCCACAGGACGAGGACTCCGTCAAGAGGTCCGCGGGCTCCGATGTGGAGAGCAGCAGTGCTTGCGACGACCTGAGCTCCGGGGCCCGGTTCAGCCAGCACCGGGACTCTCTCAGCGACGACATGATCCTGGGCACGGAGGCCTCGGCATTCGACAGCAGCGCCGCCGAGGGCCTGGACACATACGGCAGCTCCTCGGACGAGCTGGAGCTGGACTGTGCGACGGGGCCCATCCTGCCGGACCCCGAGACGAATGAAGCCGAAACACCCGCCGCCGGGAGCAGTCCACACGGAGCGGTCACAGATTCGGACTCCAGCCCGGCGCTGTACGTTCAGCTGCACGGCGAGGCCGCCCGGCGTCTGGGGCCCGATGAGAGGCCCCTACAGATTCAGAATGACTTTCTCTTTAAACTGGGATTTAAAGACCCGTGGCGGGTCCAGGAGGAGGGGATGAACACTGAGCTGGGATCACTCCTGCGCTTCTACGCAGGTAAACGACAGCGCTTATGTGTGAGAGTCGTGAGGCAGGTGTTTACATCGGCCCCCGTACACGAGGAGCTTGCTGTCAGCTGATGTTATGT